ATTAGTAACATTGAGAAGAATGGGAATTCAGAACATTTAATTGTGCTTGTGAGAACCTATGCATAGACCAGGAGGCTGTCATTCAAACAGAACAAGGGGATACTACATGGTTTAAAATCAGGAAGGAAGGATGTCAGGGTTGTATCCTTCCATCATCACTTATTCAATCTGTATGCTGAGCAAATAATCCAAGAAGCTGGACTATATGAAGAAGAGTGTGGCATCAGGATTGAAGGAAGACTCATTAACAACCTGCGATATGAAGATGACACAACTTTGCTTGCTGAAAGTGAAGATGACTTGAAGCGCTTACTGATGAATATTAAAGACTACAGTCTGCAGTATGGACTACACATCTCAACACAAAGAAAACAAAAATCCTCACAACTGGACCAATAAGAAGCATCATGAAAAATGGAGAAAACATTGAAGTTGTCAAAGATTTCATATTACTTGGTTCCCTAATCAACACTGATGGAAGCAGTAGTCAAGAAATCAGACAACGTATTGCACTGGGCAAATCTGCTGCAAAAGACCTCTTTGAAGTGATGAAGAGCAAAGATGTCTCTTTGAAAGCTAAGGTGCACCTAACCCAAACCATGGTATTTTCATTTGCCTTATATGCATGTGAGAACTGGACAATGAATAAGGAAGACCAAAGAAGAGTTGATGCTTTTGAGCTGTGGTGCTGGTGAAGGATACTGAAAATACCATGGACTGCCAAAAGAACTAATAAATCTGTCCTGGAAGAAGTGCAGCTGGAATGCTGCTTCGAAGCGAGAATGGCCAGACTTCGTCTCACCTACTTTGGTCATGTTGTCAGAAAGGACCATTCCCTGGAGAAGGATATCATGCTTGGTAAAGTGGAGGGTCAGCAAAAAAAAGGGGAAGGCCCTCAACGAGATGGATTGATACTGTGGCTGCAACGATGGGCTCAGGTATAGCAAGGACTGTGAAGCTGGCACAGGACCGGGTGGTGTTTCATTGTGTTGTACACAGGGTCGCTATGAGTTGGAGCCAACTCAATGGCACCTAACAACAAGAACAACATGTCCTTACTTTGATCAGTGAAGCTTCCTTAGCATCAAAAGTTATCCATTGCTGTAAGAAGGATATATGTGGAAGAATAAGAGTTGACTCAGGGTCAACTGACCAACTCATACTCAAAAGAACCCTTACATGTATAGCTAAATCTTCTTAGTTTTACCTTGCATATAAGGTTTTCAAGGAGTATTTATTGGATTGAATAGTAAACTATGGAAACATAGTATGAACCTGATATCTCTAAAGCATTAGGTAAGTCCTCATGTTATCTCTATTGGCAAGATAATGAAATGTGGTCAGTATAGCACTCTCATGAGGACTTCCTCCTGGATAATCAACTGTATTCAAAACTGTGCTGGTGAAGAGTTCTTTGTTGGCTTGGAAGGGATCTCTGGTAGAGCAGCTTCTGGTCTTGATTCTTAATGAGTTTATCAATTATATTACCTCCATTCCTCCAAGGTCCAGTAGGTCCAACCAAGACCTTCTAGGATCACTCTGGACTACAAGTGAACTAGAATCAAAGTGGAGGGTTGGAATCAGAATTTGATGCTTCCCCCAAACATCTGCCCCATTGAGATCAATGCTTTTCAGGATCACGTGCTTTCTCTTACATAGACCAATGCTATACAGCATTGTGTGTATCACTCACATATCACATGTTTACTATGCCTATCATTTCCAAAGCAATCACCCATTGTATGTTTGTATCTGTCATCTCTACAACTCTCAGAAATACTTGTCCTGTCCCCAGTGACAGGAAATGCAAACAACTCCAATTATAAGAATGTTTTCCTCCAAGCAGCTTTCACCTTCCTCCTGGCTTTGGTCTCTAGACTGACAAGAAAAAAGGTTGAACTCTCCTCCTCTTGATAGCCCACTAAATATCCTATGTCATTCTTATACTTCTTTCCACTTCACCCCACTTAATCTACTTTTCTTCATTTCCCATATGTTGGTGACATTTTCTTTCTCAAATCATTCACAGAATCATAGATTTTTAAAGGTATTAGAGACTAATCCCTTGATTTCACAGATGATGAAACTGAGACCAGAAGAGTTATACAACTAATCTGAGGTGGTTGTTGTTGTTGTTATTATGTGCCGTCGAGTGGGACCCAACCCATAGCGACCCCTCCTTGGGTTTCCGAGGCAGTATCACTACAGAAGTAGATTGCCCCATCTTCCTTCTGAGGAGTGGCTGGTAGGTTTGAACCGCCAGCCTTCTCGTTAACATTCAAGTGCCTTAGCCATTATGCTACCAGAACCTGAGGTAGGCTAGTAATAATGTTGAAAATACTGGTTGCATTTTTGGCCATCTCCCAAACAACATGTAGGAGATCTGGGTTCAATTCCCAGTTGATGCACCTCACGTGTAGCCACCACTCATCTGTCAGTGGGAACTTGCAAGTTGTTATGACACTGAACAGATTCCAGTGGAGCTTCCGGATAGCTTAGTCTGGAATTCCAACTCTATTTTAGGACTAGGAAGAAAGGCATGGTGATCTACTTTAAAAAATCAGCCAATGAAAAAAACTCTTTGGGTCATAATGGTCCAGCCTACAACCGATTATGGAGATGGCACAGAACCAGGTAGCATTTCATTCCATTATGCATGAGGTTGCTACAAGTCAGAAGCTGACTTAATGGCAGCTGACAACAATACAATGTACGACTGTTTGTCCTTTCCTCCAAACTCCGCATTTCTTAATAGTGTCAGTTCACTAACTTCCCAATAAACATAATGTATGTTGTTGTTATTACAACAATGACAGATTTTAGAACTAGAAAATTCCCAAAATAATAGTCAAGCCTTCCTGATACTACATAAAAGAAAACTGAAGGCCGAAGAGGCCTGGACACTTGTTGAAGGGCACACTGCAATTCATCAGCGAAGTCAGCAATAGAGCCCATGTCTCCTGATTGCATCCTAGAACGCTCCAGTTTTCTACACAAAGGATTAGCTAACACCATCACTTTCATAAATCTGAGATTGTTTTAATCTAAAAAACCATCTGAAGTCTGCATTCAGGAGCAGGAAAATCTAGTTCTTTTAAATAGTACATGAGTTCTGTCTTAGGAAGTACTGTGCTGGACATTCAGAAAGATTTTAGAAGGGAGTTTGAACAATGGGTGGGAAGTTGAGTTCAATGACATCTAAAGTCCCTTTCACCTCTGAGATTATTTCATTCTGGACTGGCCAGGAAATATGCACTTCAAATAGTCATGGCACTTCCAGAGGTGAGGTGTGTATCATATTCTGTGGGGGTCCCTCTCTTGCTGTTGAATTAGATATTGCCCTGTTCATTTCAGACATTACACTATATACAATTTACATGCAATCAAATACTCTAGGCATAGAAAGAGTGCAAGGAAATGCAGCTCTGTCATTTCCACAGACAGACTACACTGCTTAGCTTTCAAAATTGCCTTGCCTAAATGAGCATTCCATAACTGAGCCTCCAAATTCTGCTTCTATAGTTTGTTCATGTACTATGCTACTATCAGAATTAATTATGCAGCATGTTCTTGAGGAGAAATCCAATTTGGAGGAGAGTTAGGAGAGGAAAGAAAAGGGTGTACTGCCCAAAGGAAGATTACTGAAGGTTTTTCCCCAAAAAAAACACTGGAGTCATTCCATGAACAGACAGATTTCGGATGGCAGTCCCCGACTGAGCTAGCCATGGGATGGAGGAAGTTGACATGTTTGAGATACAAGGAATAAGCCAACTAACAAGACTCTGAAGGCCAACACAGTATTAATGCCCTCTTTCTTTGTAATTTCATTCCAAGTGTAATTTTACACAAATCTGTTCATTTGCTTTATAGCTCCCGAACACTAATAAATATTAAAATGCACTGGTTTTAGACTTTTTCTTCTTTGTAATAATGAATCCAAGGGAAGGGAGCCTTATTTTTCTTATTTCAGAATAAAAAAAAATATATATTAAAAGTCAAGTTCTGGAAGTTAGTAAGGAAGGCTCACCAGTAGTACATTGAATATTTTTACATGAATGGGATTACAAAACACAGTTCTAACTATCTGATTAAATGCATGGGATCCAGGTGTTGCTTACATTTCAGAAGAGCAAACTGATGCTCCACAACTCTGTGCCAAATAACAGGCAAAACAAAACAGCAAAAACAACCATACAAGGTTTCTCAATCGTAAGAGAGAATTATTACGTACAGATTCCATGCGCAAATCTGACATGGAATACTTTAAAGGACTTGGACATATTCTCTCCTGGGCTCCCCTTGATGTGCCTAGACACTCCTAGTGCACAGGAGTCATCCCAAAGGTTGAAAAAACCGGTATTCTATCTGCATTGATCTGCATCCACCAATGATTTAAGGGCACCTGAGGTCTTTACACAAACCCTGCACCGGGTGTTCAAATGAAGGTTCCTTCGGCCTTCTCAGCTCCCCAATAGCAATACCCATCCCCTTTCTTTTGAGGTTTACACCACTTTCCTTCCGGCGGGTATTTCTTACAGGAAAGCACAACTCGAGGGAAAGGGCCCGACTGGGAAAAATTGAATTTTTTTTTTTTTTTTACTGTTACCCTCCGGCGGAGCAGCATCAACAAAACACACACATGCGTTCCAAGTCCGGAAGGTATACATAGACAGAGAAAGACCAAAGGAGAGGAAAAGAAGAGGGAAAGAGGTAGGCAAACGCAGGAAATAAAGAGATAGAGACGGGGGGAGGCAAAGCACAGATTTAAGAGAAGGACGCAGGAGGAGAGTCAAGGAAAGAAAGGAGAAGGAAGAAGGGAAAGATAGGAAAAAGAAAGGATGAGGAATAAGGGAGGCGCCGGGGACGGATGAAAGAATGTGTGCGGAGCGAAGCGCGGGGACGCGGCGGGGAGGCGGCCGGGGCACCCGCGCGCCCCTAGGGAGTCGCGAACAGCGCTCCACTCGCGGGCGCCAGGGGCGCAGGACGCGCCCGCCGCTCACCTTTCAGGATGAGGGTGTCGATGTCCCGGTCGATGCCCAGGAAGTAGCACTTCCTCCAGAGGCCGGAGTAGGTGGCAAAGAGCGGCCGGCCACACTCAGCGTCCAGCCCGCCGAGCCCCAGCAGCGAGCGCCAGGACTCGGGGTCTGCGCGCCCGGGGCCGCCCGGGAGCAGCCGGCGCCCCAAGGGGGGCGAATCCCGCAACGGCAGGTGCGACAGTGGCATCAAGCGGTTCTTCTGGTCCGGAGGGTCGGCGCCGGCTCGGCTGCGCTCGCAGCTCTCCTTGTGGCGCCGGGGGTCGGTCTCGTACCAGTGGTCGGTGAAGATAGCCGTGACGAGAAGCCCCAGGGAGCAGAGGCTGAGGCCGAGGCTGAGAGCCGTGACAAGCGCCCGCGGCTCCATGGCTTCCCGCCCCGCCGCAGCAGCCGGTGGGCTCGCGCGCCGCCGCC